CTTGAGGAGGTTCTCTGGTATATTTTTATAATTCTTATGGGCCTCCTTATAGTGCACGAGCCTTATATGCCTATTATAGAGAAACGTGGGAGGTACTTTGAGAATTAGAAGCTAAATTCAACAAGACATTAAATCTCGACCTTAAAAAAAGGGGGTTGGTAAGGAACATGGTGGAAAAGTTTCAACATGGTACTGATGAGCTGATGAGCTGATGAGCTAAACTCGGTGATGAGGTTGGAAAATAGATGAAAATAGCATTTGAATGTACCTAACCTAAGATAGACGAATTGAATCTCCTTCCTTCCCATTGGATCCCGTAACTACCTAGGTATCTAATCTAATACCAAGGTGTGGTTGCCGATGCATCAGCAACGCATAAAACGCATGTACCTACATGTGCCCACCCGCTTTCCCTGGACATGTATTTAATGCATGCATGGAAGTCAGCAAGAATATTCTCCCTTGGGGTAGCCTTACCTTGGCTAATTTCGTAATACTGCCTACCCAGTAATTGTCAGCACGACACATAAAAAAACCCCCCCAAACTCCCTACTGATCGAGATTACATCATTTCCCGCTCGCCCGATAGGTCCCTATACCATAGCCCTGGGACCGCGCTAAAAGTCTTGCATAAGGTAGGTAGGTAGGTACCTAGGTTACTTAGATGCACATCGATCGAATTACCTCAGCTACGGCAGAACTAGCATTACCCCCGAGTCCATTCCGACCCCGAAAGAGAAAATGGTCATTATCAATTTATAATGGACGGAAGGATTCGGGATCAGCTGCGACATGCTCAGGACTGCGTCGCGATTTCGCAAGAATGTAGTATTTGATGTAAACCATTTTTTCTTCTCCACTTCTATGTAAACAACGTTCGCGATTACCTCTACCTAGATAGACCCGGACCCCGAAACGCGGGAGCAAATCCGATATCGCGACGACCCCCGGGCGTATGACCTGCTGTTGACGCGACAACGCGAGCTATCCGACGACGCATGATCCTACCGGCGTCTGGACCCGGCTACTCGGAGTTCCCGGGTCGAAACACCAAGAACCCAATATCGAAATGTTTAATATCCAATATCTCTTTCGTTCCCGTACATTCCACCTTGCGCCGAATGTAACTTGCAAATGCAGCCAAGTGTTCCCGTGTTCTATCTTCGTCTTCACCGCCTGGTGGGAGTCATTATTTCTTGTTCTTGTACATGATACTCGAGGAATACCTGAGCTCGTAGGCAGCAGCGGGAACGACGGGAGCGGCGGTCTCGACGATATGCTGATGACTTTATTGTCTCACCCACGCGGCAGGTAGGGCGGCAGGACCCTGCTCCCATGCGTCTGACCCTACCATCTCAGCCCTAAACTGAAAGGCCCTTGCCACATGTTGCTGACTGCATCTACTTGCAACTATTGCCTAGCATCTTACCCTCCATTGGAAATGTTGGGACAGGTGCATTGCATATAATCACTTAATATCGAACTCGGTCTTATATACGGGTACGCGATGGCAAGAGGTCGCCACTCAACCTTCGAGGCTATCAACCTGGTTTGCCTCATTGAGTATGTCTTGCCGTATGGCCAGTGGATTCAAAAGGTGATTAATCTCTCACTAAATATCATAGTATCAACTAGATAAACACGGGCGTTGAGATATCACACCAGCTACTAATATCATCAATATTAGGCGAGAATGGAAGATCCGCAATGTATCATTATACCAAGCTATATTGGATGCAGCCTCACGAACCAACCAGCGGGATATAATTTCCCCTCGAATAATTCACCTATTAGAGTTGCAACACCAGCCGTGGCTATCATACATGCCGTCCGCTGAGCAATTGCGTCTTTAACTGGGATTTGTAAATATCAACAAAGGAAAGAGCTAGGCCTGTCTGTTATGGACATGGTAGAACTGCTTGCCGAATCGTCAAACTGAGCTTCCCTTCGTCCTGATCAACCGCCTCGAATGGCTAGATGACTAGAGCCGCGATGGCTATGGCGAGCGCGGCAGTCGAAATATCCCCGACTCCCGCAGCTGTTGATTTACCATCCGCTAACGTCTCGCCGACCCCGTTCGGTATGATGGCATTGACGCACCTGGGCATGTGCCTGTGTGCTGTGTGCGCTGTGTGATGGGATGCATGCCTATGAATCGATTTTTTGGCATGCATGTTCTCAACGTTTTTATTGAGTGGTTCTATAAGATGTTAGCGGATGGAATACTTGAACAAGTCTCAAAAATCAAATATCTAGCATTGGAAGAGAGCTGTGACTTACTATGAGGCCTCGATAACGAGCTATCATCGCTAGCCGGGACGGACCCATCGAGGATTCGCAAGGTGGTTACGGAATCTTGATCCTGGAGAGGCAACGATGCTACCTTGCAGATAGCAAGGGCGAGAGCGAATATTGGGAACCGCATGACGTCTCAAAGGAAATCTGAGTGGATCCGAGTCTAAGTTGTGTCCCTGGCGATGGAAGGATATGAGATTCTATGCGAAATTGTTGTAGGATCGTAAATGTGCGCGAGTCGACAGATATTGAACACTGCTTCGAAGAGCTGCCCGAACTCCTAATAGGCTGTATGATCAGACGGTCATAGATTATAAGCCTACCTAGAAGTAAGGACTAGTTAGACGAACACACGTAAAAGTAAACTTCGGCTAACAACACACGATTCGCGCTTTGATCGTATCCGTGCTTGTGATTTTATATATAAATTAGGTAGGTACCTTAATATGCTTTGAATACTCGCTGATCTAACAACTTTGAAAGTTGTTACTGGGCTAGGTTGCGTAATTACATGTCACAGCGATAACGCTATGTTCGACACCTTTATGAATGATCAGTTGCCTGATGCGATACTATATTCTAGAGAGGATTGGCTTTATAATTATTAGATCGACGTCGAGCGATCTGTTTACGATTGAATGTTTCGAGTCTGATGAAACTCTGGTATTATTCTATACGTGGCTGGCATGTCGTATAAAGGCATCGTTACCCGGAGAAAAAAGAACTCTTCCTAAGCCACCAAACTCTATTGATTTAGTCTCTACCACAGTCGCAGAAACCATAGACGTGTCCGCACCGTGGTTACGAAGCTATTTAGATAGAATAGAAAGTCTTTTGATGCTAGTAGACTTTCGCCGATATCTGAATAGAAAATACTCGACCTTAGTTTATAAGACGAACAAATCATATATAATACCCATCACTATGTCCGTATGATGTAAGAAAATGAGAGCTGCACGAATATATCATCGAAGTATGTACCTAAGTTTAGCTGAAGACTTGGTTTAAACGCTGGGGCTCTAGATGACTTAGATAGACGCATGCATTACTATTCTTCCGCGCTTGAAAGAGACCTAAGTGAATCGTTTGCTGGAAATATCGGCGCCTCACGGGCTAGATCTATGGCGTAGCAAAACGATGGTGGCACAGAGGGCGGTTACATTGCCGATACGGTTACGTGCTTAAAAAGAGGTTAACAACACTTGGCGTGAGGGAGCTGATATGCCGCTATGGCCTTGATTATCACGCCAGCACAAACATAAGTTGTTAGGCATATTATATGTACCTAAGGTAGATAGTCAATTCAGATATTATTTTATTTAGAAGGCGAAAATAAGGCTTGTTAATTTAGGTACATACCTAAGTAAATTACATAAGTGAGCGGTGAGGTTACCAACACATGCAGTGAATAGGTAGGTATGTATATTAGAATGATGAATTGAATGGTTAAATAGAGTTGGCGTGCATGGCTCCGAGATGAAACAAGCGACAGGGACTAAGTTGCATGCAGCCAACCAATTGGATTCGGAGTCTGTTTCAAAATTGGAATTTGTTCCTGACGATCTCCTTAGGTAATCTTCGATTTATCACATTTAGGTAAGGTACGTCGGGTCTGTTATCTAGGTTTAGCGCCTCTCCTTAACACTTTCCCCTTGCTTCAAGTTTTCATTCCCCCACTCCCGATTTTTGCTTCTTTTTACATCCTTCTTCCTGAAGGGAACTCTGGAATCTGTTCATCCACTTAACCTGCTACAATGCTAAGCCTGGACGGAAAAGCTTGGCTGCCTTCACTTTAGTCAAGCCACTTTACGGCTACTGGCTATCGCTTAATCGTCTATTATTAGCCCAGACATCTTAATTGCGCCCTGAGCTAACTACCTGGTACTGGACGCGCTTATTCGGAGATTTTTTATCCTATAATCACGTATAACACAATTCACTGCATATTAGAACCGCATAGTAGTTCTATGCGGTTAGCAGTTTTTAGATCTAGAAGTGGGTTAGATGTTATGGGCCAAATATCTATGTACTAAATCGAAAAGGAGGATATGAGAGGAGTAAGCTAAGTATTGTAAACTGTTGGCGAAGATGATCTGTGTGGTCCATCCAAAGTAACCCTGCCACGATCATTTATGCGCCCGCGCCTAATCACGCATTTTGCACCACCTGGCAGCCTGGCAAGCCTAGCAACCTAGGAGGGCTAACTTTACATATTACGACATGGATCGAATTTTGGGCAGGTGTCCAGGTATCCCCTCTATTGGGATCACACCTAGATAGTACCTATGCAGCTAGTGGTAGGTACCGATTTAAATAATCAAGGGTGATCGCCCTGACATTTTACCTTGATGATACAGGAGGGCAACACACCGAGAATTCTCTTTCCCCATTATATCTATTGACGATCTTTGCTGCTTCTCCGTTGCTTCCCTTTCGGGTATTCTTTCTTTCATTTTCCGACTTCTATTCTAACAGCCCGGTCCTGCTTGCTTGTTTGATACCTTTCTATCAAACATTCTTTCATTCATCCAATCATTCATTCGTTATAGCTCTGACGAGCGTACACTCACTTATTTTTATCCTAACCCGAGTCCATCTTTTAGCACCGGAAAAAGCAGCCTTATATTTATACCTTCTTGCTTGCTTCATATAACCTAACAAACCTAAGATCTTCAGTATCACTTTACGGGGGGGAAAAATTCATCATGTTGTTCAGCACGATATCTTCGCTTGCTATTGTGGTCCTTGCTGGCCAGGCTATTGCAGAGCCTATACGTCAACCGTATAAGCCAAAGCTTGCCCATATGTCGCCTAGAGCTATATTTGGTCTCGATCGTCGTGCGAATGGTGGATATGCGCCCGAGCAGCAGTTTTGCGAGGATGGCGATACTTGTGCCGAAGCGTGCGGTAAAGGTTTTGAACAGTGCGCTTCTAAGGATAGTGTTGTACACTGCTTCAATAAGACTGCTAAGCAGACTTGCTGCCCTGGAAAAACTGGAGGTAGGATCTCATAGTAGATACCTAAGCATATATGAGACTAAGCTGCTGACCATGATATAGAATCTTGCGATAAAGGCTTCTTCTGCACAGCAGATGATAAAGGTGCCACTTGGTGCTGTCCCGATAATATGACATTGGAGCAGTGCGCAGACGCCTATAACCTTCCTGGTTCCCTTGTGACGCAAACAAGCCCATCCACCACTAAACCTAAGTCGTCGCACACGTCTACGACCCTTGCTTCCACCACTACTGCTAAGAGTGTTAGTACATCAGCTAAGGCCGCTGCAAACACTACAAGTACTAGAACTACTGCAAGCCCTACAAGCACGACTAGCACTGCCACATCTCAGGATAGCGAATCCTCTACCTTGGCCGCCCCTGCGAACACCACCCCTGGCCCCGAAACCACGGCCGCGCCGGCCACTCCTTCGCCCACAATCCCTGCGAATGGCATCGCCACAGCTGGAAGTGATAGTAATTATGGTTCCATAAACAGTATAATGCTTCTTGCTATGGCTGCTTTTGCTGCTCTCCTCTAAATCAGTTCGCGACGAGATGAGGAAAACGTACTGGGAAGAGTGGACTATATATGATGGGATGAGCCATGATCATCGAAATTTTTCTTTGCGCCGACCTAGGAATCTAATTGGCTGGATCGCCTTACTTTTAATTCCGCTACACTATCGATACCCTTTGGCACCCATAGAATGTCGTCCAGACCGTCAAGGTGGACAGGCATAGGTTTTGGTGCGTTAAGCTGTTGGGGTTCTGGGAGTTGTTTGTTTTTACACCTTCGCTACTTGCATATAATTAAGTCTCGAGGACGGCATGTGCATAAAAGGACATCCGTTTCTAGAAGCGGGTGGTCTGCTGGGTTGACGGGATTGGTGGATTGCCTCGATGGTACCCCTATAGAGATATCCTAACTTACCTACTACTACCTATACATATCTAGGATAACATTCTTTTCTTGAAAAAAAGAACTTACGAAAATATTAATACTGTTTCGATTCGTATATTTAATTGTCTTCTAAGAGAGTGGTATGGGTTGTGACATAATGACTACCTCCTAAGATAGTTGTGCACAGCAAATGGCAAAAAGGTTATCATATCAAAAAGAGACAAGAAAGTTTTCAATGTTAGAGGTCTATAAACAGTTTACCTTGTCGTCCCTAAGCGATTACAATAAAGTGAACTGAAATTCGATACCCAAAAGGACATAAAGACTATCAGCTTAGTGTACATGAATAAATCATGAACCTACCTACCTAGGTTAGGCAGTTACCCATTTATTTGCAGGAGATAACAGGTATAAAGCAAAAAAGAGAGACCTACACTGTCCGGAATGCTCACTTCCTCCCATTCTCCATCCCATCACCAACCCCCAGAGCCCTCTAACCCACAATCACCTTGCCACCATGAATGTTGTACCTTAACAGTGTAGTCCCCCGGTACCCACAATCCCCCAGTCCCCCACCATGTGCCATGTGGTGCGCCGCCGCAAAATCCCCGGACCCCACCGTGCCGCCGCCCCCGGCGCTCGAACCCGCCGCACTTCGGGTTGAATGTTTGTGCCTTCGTAGTGATTCAAATACGCCATATGTCATGTGCCAGCCGTGGGGCGGCCAGGGGAAGACTTGTTGTTGGACTTGATAAGTCTTTCGTCGTCGGCCGGCGGTTTGTTGCTGGGTACCTGTCTCAGGGATTTTGGTACTGTTTAGCGGTTAGAGTATGATAGTTGGCAACAGGGATTTCTATGCCCGGTATCTCCTGTATGCATATTAACAGATACCTTAGGCTTGCTACAAGGTGTTTTTACTCCTAGTATAGGTACCAATTTACTAACAAAGAGTTATATCCAAGGTCGTCTTGACCTCTCATAATACTTTTCCTCAGATGCAGTCAAATCCAACATAATAAAAGGCAATAAAATTCGTGGCTTTTTAAGAAACTCAACCATAGCATTATGAGAACTATAAATATGTAATCAACGCATAACCTGTTAACCAAGCCACCCCAGTAGGCGATGCTATATAACTTGGTTATGTAAGGTAATTCATTTATGTACAAAGAACTCTATCAGAGAACGGTATTACATCTAATCATGGAACCAAATCATGTTTGGGCGATTCGTAAATAGGCCAAATGCTTAGATTCCACCGTCATCCATATCGTCAACGTCTTCCCCATCCTGTACTGGGAGAATCCCATCCGTAGGCTCGCCCTCCACAGCCTTGCCGCTCTCGTAAGTGATGCGTCGCCAGCCGCACGGTTCTGAGCCGTCCTTTATCCACTCCATTGTCGGGAAGTAATGTTCGTTCTTTTTCATCGTGATAATCCATGGTTGGTTATCAAAAGTCATGGCCTTTAATCGGAAATCTAAGAGTATGTTAGCTACCTATCTTGTGTGACTAGGTATGTCGAAAGAGGGGGAGAAGCCTTACAAGTATTGTCCGGGATCTTAACTACATTCTCTAGGAAAGTCTTGAGATCCGGTGTTGGCTTGCCGTTGACATGTGTGATGAAGTTGGTTGGTGCAAGTCCGTATTGATATGCAGGTGAACCTCTACTCCGAGCGGACACGTATACCTCACTGGCGAGCTTACTTATTTGTTGCCTAACCGCAAGATGGGGGACGTGAAGGATAGCACCACAGAACGAAATGGCATGGTTCGTTTCTATATTGTCAGCTGGTGACGTTGGAACTTGGAGATGCATCTCTTGACTTTCTCGGACGATAACAGCTTCGAGTACCTCATGCGAATACATGACATCCAGCTCTGATACACGGGTAATGATCTTCCCGTTGAGGGTCAGGATTATATCACCTTCGAGCAAGACGACGGGGCGGTTGTCACGCTCAAAAGTACATTTAGAGACCATAAATAGCTGATGGCTGTGTTTGTTGGCCGAGAAGACTTTGTGTATCCAATCCTCAGAGACGCCCATGACGCGAGCTTGGGACATGGCAACGGGCCGGAACTCCATGGGCAACATACGCAGCTTAGGGTCTTGACCTTGCTGAATTTGTGATACAACATGTAATAGAGTTGGAGCAGCAAGCCCCAGGTGATACTCTTCGTCTCTCGACCCAGAGGACCTTTCACCTAGATAAGTCAACCACAAGGCTTGTACAGTGCCATCCTTGTCGACGAGCACTCCGCTTCCACATTGACCACTAAGATTAGTGTCTACAGTGATTGCATCGACGTTGGTAGCCCGATACCTCGGTGCGCCCGAGTTAGCAGGAATAGCTACCGTAGTTATCTCAGTAACTGTGGTGGCGGCGTGCACGATTCGGCCACTCCTGTTATATCCAATAAAAGTTGTCGATGCTCCTTGCGTGATGTTATCTTTACTGAGCCTTGCGCTTAACACTGGTGCATCAACGAGCGCTGGATCATACTTGATAATGGCGTAATTCTGGAGTGGATGCATGAAGATAACTTTGCCTTCAACAACGATGGAGTCGGCGATTGTAATCCAAATATCGCACAAGTCGTAAGGAATGACTGCTCTTGAGATAATCACTAACCCCTTCTCGGCGTCGATCACCAAACCCATTCCCCACTTCCTGTTCCTGGGAAATCCATCCAGCTTGAGAGGCATTGTACAGCCTACACGCACAAAGCTGCGGACTAAATCAGCTACAGCGGGGTGTGATGTGTGCTCCAGCTGGATAAAAGCACCCTTGCGGCGTACTGGAGGTACAGGGGGTAGGGCATCGGCAATATCCTCAAAGTCCCATAACCCAGTTGTATCGTTTCGCGTAGCCTGCCGCATCTTAGCAGACCAATGTCGGTCGACATTAATGATTGTGGTATTGAGGCTGTGGAGATCCCGAAGGTGTTTATATGTAACTACAACACGCTTCTTGTCAGGGATCTGCTTCACGACATCGATAAAAGCATTTAGGTTAGGTGTCTTCTTCTGGTCAACGCTTTGGATCATCCAGCCGTTATCTGCACTATCGAAACGGAAAGAACCAGTGGATTCACAAACGAAGACACCGCCACCTTCAATAGCTACTCCGTAGAGTCGTGCCTGCTGATAGGATAGATTATGAATGCTAGCCCCAGAGACAGTTACAAAACGGTCTGGCGTGATTGCATGAAGATCGCCGACTTGGATATCGATATCGATATCTTCACCTCCTCGTTGTAGAGTCACCTGGATAGGTTTGCCAACGCTCGAGTCTAAGATGTCATCTAGCCGAATAAATTGGGTGATCATCTCACCATTTACCTTTAGGAGCACGTCTCCCTCCTCGATCTTATTGTGAGAAGGGCCTTCAGGAAGAACTATCTCAGCAACAAGCATATTGGTCTCCTTAGGAAATGTCTCCCGAACCGCCTTCTCCCAATTTGGCGTTAGGCCAAGCCTACGACACTCATCAAATGGCTTCATAAGGAATTGACACTGGATAGTGCCCCGCTCAACTGGCCGCCCTTCCTGTATACAGCGAAGGGCCCTTAAAGGTCGGTCGAGGGGTAGGAAATAGTCGGTTGATGCGCCATCAGATCTCCCACCAGCTTGCAGTGCTATAGCAAAACCATCGATATTGACGACCGGGCTGCCAGAGCTACCACCGCTGGCGGCAGCATTAGCTTGATAGTAATTGGTATTAAAATCGCTATAACCCTCGCCATATTCGGGGGCATTGCGGTCTAACCGGCTAATGACACCGGAAAGGATACTAAGCTTTTCGCCAGCATCGTTTCCAACAACTCTTATTTCCACACCAACTAAAAAAAACCATGGTCAGAATCTGCTCTTAACCATGTTCTAGAAAATATAACATACCTTTTGCTAGATCCGGGCGGATATGGAGGGCCGAAACAGGCATGTATTTGATGGCTTTGGGGTCGAAGCGCAAAATGCCGAAGTCGTGAACGGGGTCTCGGTAGACGGGGTACGCATCGACTTCCTCATGGTTGTCGAATACAACATAACCCCAGAATGGTCCCGCACCGACAACATGTCTATTTGTAAGGATATATCTATCAAGGTGTTAGCAGATGAAACCCCATAGCACTTGTTATCGAGCCATCTTACCCTTTCTCAGCATCAACGACAAATCCAGTGGCTTCACTGGCGCATGCAGCATCTGTGTCGAAGGAACAGGTCTGGCAAAAACGAATAGAGACAACATTCCTAACGACCTTCTCTATGGTAGCCTGCCATTCTGCCGTGTCAGGCACAGCTTGTGGGGGGTAAGGTACTAGTTCTTCGTCTGTAGCCATATCGCTTTCCATAAAGCTTGGTAATTCAGTATCTGGTGTATTTTCGCTCGGAGATAGCTTTCGGTTTGCGGGTCGAAGGTGTTTATGAAGACGACCGTGCTCGTCGGGGGAGAAGGGAGCTTTGCGCTTAGAGCGCGAGGTTGGACTTGATCCATTCATGACTGTAGGAGTCGATTGGTGACGAGGTGTCTCTGTAGTGAATGGACGTGTAAGACAAATGGTGATTCTATGTCGATTATTGGGAGCAGATGCGCACCGTAGCGGTGATGTAGGCTGAGAAAGCCCTGAAGGGAGCTCTAGAGGAGAGAGCCTTGGAGAGAACCCTGATGACGAGTAAAGAAGCCGAGTGAGGCCTGACTCAGCAATGCGCAAAGGCAATAGGTGCCTCATCCAGCGCCAATACCTTCCAATGTGTTGTCTCGCTCATCTATTTCGTACTCATCATAGATAATGTAGTGATTGTGGTAATGATGAAGATGAAGTAGGTGACGAAAGTGACGAAAGTGACGAAGGTGACGCGGATAGTATCACTAAAAAAAATATGGGAGAGGTGCCAGAATCGATTCTGAAATACGTATGTTTCCACGATCCCTGCTAATAATTAAATCAAGAATCTCGAGGTCGGACCAATTCGAGATTACTTTATATTCTTGACGCAATGCAATAAAAGATTGTGTATGCGAACCCGGATGAGGGCAGCTTCAAGTTAGTAGCTTCTTAGAAGCTTTTCACATATCCTTCCCGATCGGTCGGTAAAATAAGTTAGTTGTAGGTAGACGGCCTGCAGCTTCTACTTACAGATTAAGTTTTGCTGGATGATATGGCCTAAGGGTAGCAAGGGGCAAGGGTGCGATAACGATCCGTTATCTTAGCTTCAGGTTCCACGAACTTGGAGGTCGGGATTACCTAACTAATCAGAACGAGTACAGATTGTTTACTTTAGATCCGCTACGCTACATCTAAGAATGCTACTCTAAATGGACTTTTTGCACGTGAATAATAGGAGAGGCTTTTATATAAATACGAGTATTAGAAATATCTATTTTATTCCCACCATGGACAAATAACGAGTAGGGACCATACTATCCCAAGTTATAAAATTTTTGAACTATAACTAACTAAGCCTTTTAACAAGGACAAGAATATGTCCCAAGGTACGAACTTGACCTAAAAAATAAGCAGAAATTATTAATAAAAAATATTACTAGTCCAAACAGTCAGAAATATTCTTTATAAGGAAAGTATTTTTGTTCATTATTACGTCTTAATTAAATATATCTAAGTATAAATTATAACGAAACGAAAAAAACATACGTGGTTTGCCGTAATATGTACGAAGTATAGTCTTGGCTTTAATAAATGTTATTAACCGTTATTAACCCCCATGTTGCAGCAATTATTGCCTAAGCCTGCTCTAAAACGTCCACCTACATGCGTACCTGAGGTGGAAGCATTAGTGCTTTTTCAACAACGACAGATAGGTAGCCAAAAGAAGAGTTGTGTGACATGTCATGCAAGATTATATTCCTCGGTGTCATAACTACCGCTTTCCGTTAAGTATCACAATCCTATCACAATTGTTTAGCCCAGTCCTAAGGTTGAACGCTGGTGATGCCTCCGTAAGCATAACTCCTGTAAGGGTGCTAAACATGCCTACTGCCTTTGCTTTTTTTTTCATGGATTAACAGCATCTAGCCTTTTTCGCTTCTGTACTCGATCTCGTTTACAGGAAAACTATTCTATGCTCACGAAGATATGATAAGGGAAAATGTGATCCATCATCAAAAATGTGATATGCCTACTGCATTATGTGCTCACAGGGTTAAGTAAACTGCATAAGTAGGCAACCACCTCTTAGTATTTCTCAAGTAATCGCACTGGATAGACGCGTAGGGAAACTTAGGGATCGAAAGTAGCTATAGCCCTTTCCTGAAGTGTGCCAACGGGTTAAGTCGGTTGGTAGGACTCTAAACATTTTCTATAAAGTTCCGTTATATCCTCCGTTGTGGCTGTTTCTATCAGCAGGCAACTAACTTCCCAACTCCAACCCGCAACCGGGTTTAACATACGAAAGACTCCAATATCTAAGTACCCAGGTACGCGAGAAATTCCCTGCCAAAGTGTATATATGTCTGTTTCCACGCAATCACATTGCATTAGATATATCATATTGCCTATGTATTCACGACGCCACGCCACTGCCCGTGAATTATATAACCCGTACCTACCACGTCTAACCCGTCATAAACCGCCCACCTATCCATATCATTTAGGAACTTCATGTCCTTCACATTTCTTTTCCATCTTACCACCTTACATGTTATACCTTAACTAACCAAAATTTTAAGGGCAAACATTCTCCACATACCCAACCACTCTTTAACAACTCAACGGCTCATCAACCATCATGTCGAGCGGCAAGCCTTGGACTCCGCAGGAGAAGGTATGCAGATCATAGCCTCTTGCCAACCTGCTTCAACAGCAGGATATAACTTATGATGAACGACTACTAATAAGATATACCGAATAGCTTGAACTCCTTCTTCAGGTCATTGATTGTATGAAACCATCTGGCAGGGGTATTCCCTTTCAAGATATTAAAATGCCCGGTCGTACAGTCAGAAGCCTCAAGGACACTTGGAGAAACCTCCGTGCTGAGGCAGCAGCCTACCGCAGTGATAAGAAGGACGACAATGACAGCGACCAGGAAGGTGCAGTAGAAGCCGCTGCTACCGCCAACGGTAGTCGCAGTAAAAATAAGATATCCACCAAGCCAACTGAATGTATGTTACTACCTAGCTATCTCTTTCCATCCCATGATGTTTCATCTATACATACTCACGATATATTTATTTGCTGACACTACATAATTATAGCCCCCCGCCGTGGTACCCGTCGGAGAACTCAGAAGAGAACATACTCCGATTGGATTAGTGACGATGATGGTACGTAGTTTGACTTGAATCCCACCTAAATTTTCTTTCTTTTTGTCTTCTAGGTACTGACATCTCCATAATAGAGGAGGATACGGTCTCCGTCAAGAAAGCTCACCTTTCGTCATCAGACGAGAAAGAGGTGGAAACCTCTAAAGTAGACGCTGGTATGTGACTTACCTTACACCCCTTCCTGTCTTCCTCTTCCTCTTTTACATTAACTATTCTATTCTATTACTTACTTATACACTTACAACACAGTCGCCGTTACCAAGAGCAAGCCTGTCCGTTTTACTAGGGGTGTCAAGAAGGGAGAACCGAAGGTCAAGCTCGAGGAACCTGTGGATGACGACGGTGTCGAATTTGAAGGTGAGGCATGAACGCCTCACCTCGTTCACCAGGGTCATCAGCGACCCCTGGTATTCTATGGATCTTTGTCTCAAGCAGCAAGCGCAGGCCTCATCCAACACGGCCTACAGCCTCACATGACAGACAAACCAATTGTCGATCATTCGTGGTATCCTCTTCCGTACTTTGCGTTATGCATTTCATTCATTTCAAATATCAAACAGAGTTGCGTTTGTTTCACGCACGAGAGCTTGAAATATGTAGGCGAAAAAGCCTCCAGAGTCTCAGTCTTCGCGATATTTTATGCCAGGAGGAAGCATAATTAGATAGTAGCAACATCTAGTTTTAAGAGTCATGCGCACACTCGCAATAGTATAGCTAAATGAATAATTGTGCGTGAATTTCATTTACTATTGAATTAGGTAGTCCCGCTTACCCACTACTTATCATACATACGTGCTTGTTTCGTAGGCCAACACAGCAAACCGCCTTGCTTTGCCATACTTTATTGCTAATAAATGAATTTCTAATTGATTTAAATCTTGAATATAATTATTTATACTTTAAATAATCTTCGTGCGTAAAGAGAGTAGAAATTGAATGTTTAGTAACCAAGTCAATGAGAACCCGGCCTGTAGAGATGAAGCCCCTTTTTAACCCAGGCAACTAAAACATCAGCTATATAAGCTGTAAAGACAACATAAACTATCACGTACGACCATAGGATCTGGAAAACTCGGGATCCCGTCTGCTCTCCCATCGATAAACCCGATACCGCCGGACTAGTAATTGGGTCGGTGACGACCAGTGAATCCCCGGTGTTGTACGTTTTGATCTTTTTTATTTTTTTTATTAACATTTTATTTATTAATATTATAAGATGGATCCATCCTATATTACTTTCTATTCTAATAATGCCATCTTAGTAGTTTCGCATTCTTATGGTGGCTAGGTAGTATTACATATGTTGTTACCTCTGATCGTAAGTATGTAGTCGTTCACAAAGCGCTTCAGCTATTATATCAATCTCGACTGAACATCCTCATCAGTCACAAAATGCATCCCACCTTCGCATCGATAACCACCGGCAACTTTATTCCAAGAAAATCCATAGACGCAGACATTCATTTGATGTAAGACCTGCTGTACCCTTTCCTCGTCCCGTATGCGCTGCTGAGTCGCCGAGAGTTGGCTCCGTAGCGCATCGCACGCTGAGACATCGCCGCTCTTTTCGGCCTCTCGCAAACTGCGCTCTAGTCGTTTGATTTCCGTATTGCGTAGGACGCGTCGAGCGCTTTCGATCCTCTTCGCCTTGGCAAGTTCCTGCCAGACGGCGTCGGACACGCCCTCTTCACGTATGTCTTCACTCGGCGCCTTCTGCCCTTGCGTGTTACGGTCGTTTTGTGGTCCATTCGTTCCTTTGCGGACGGCGGTGGCTTGAGACGTTAAAAAGCTGTTGAGACCTTGACCTTGGGTTCTAACCGAGGCGCTATCATTCGCGGTAGAAAAGCTGCTTTCTGCTCTGGGTGCATAGGAGGTAGAAGCAGCCGGAGGCGGTGTTGCTGATTGCGGATTAAACATCATTGGGTGTGAGTCCATTCCCCTGGTGGACGGCGACTGTGGTGAGGCCGTCTTGTCATTTGATGTCGTGGCGGTACAGCGCTCTTTCTGCTGTGTGATCATCTGCCACATACAGTCTGTGATATAAGCTGCGGAGATGACTCGGGCCTGGTGGGCGCAGCAGTCATAGTCGATAGACTCAAGGAATCTCCCAAGAATTCTCCTCGATAAGTTTCTTACATCACGGGCATTACTCCAGCTAGGAATCGATTGCATAGCGCGGAAGAGTCCCTTGACTTTCCCATAGTCTGGCGAGCTCGGGTTCTTGAGGAATCCTGCTTCACTTGTGAACTTGCTGAATTCAAGCTCCTTGGCAAGCAACGCGATGCAATCATCGAGAGGGATGTTATCAAAGGTAATCTCCTCTGGGAAGAGACTCGCAAGAGCCGGTCGAGTCGATATGAGGTTATGCATGTCTGCCGTATAGCCGGCTAGGATCACGATCATCTTGCCCTTGAGCGACGGTCTGGTAAGGAACTGGATCAACTCATCGACTGCCTCGGTCGCGTATTGTCCTTGAACAAGTCTGTGGGCCTCGTCGATGAAAAGAACTCGCCCGATACCTTCCTGGAGCTTCTTTCGTGTCTTAGGCACCGTCTGTCCAACGTACTGACCAAGGAGATCGGCCATGGTGCATTCGATTACTTGGGGTGTCGCTAAAAGCCCCATATTGTAGAAAAGCTCTCCCATCTTCTGTGCGGTAATAGTTTTTCCAGTACCTGCATGGACGATGAAAGTCAGTAATTTATTCGAGTAAGGTTAGGTACATAGCTATTAATCCTTCTGGTGTGCGTACCTGATGGTCCTTTGAATATGAAGCTCGTCGGGACTTGCTCCCTCGGGTCTAATCCATGCCTCCTTGCCCCAAGGCATCGCTTTTGGTACCCGACGAATTTGTCGGTGATGGTGCTATGGACGAGGCCCTCCATCATTTTACGGCAGTCGACTCTAGATCCTCTATCATGATCAGGATCGAAATCCGCTGCCTCAATCTCTATGTCAGTGTCTAAACTGATTATGGTCATTGCTGATAATCTCATTTCATAATTCGTCTTGGCCATAGAAAGGAGGCTATCTATCTCGCCAGCGTTCGTGAAGTTTGGACGCATCAGCGACCTTTCAAGAACCTCGAGAGCTACCTCAATAGCATGATCAGTAGCACCAAGCCCTTGCTGGTCCATTTTCAGCCGTAGAATCTGTTCTAGCTGTGAGATATCAAAGTTCTCAAAACGGAAAGGTCGCTCGATGGGGAAACGTCGTGACAGACCTGGGTTGACGTTCTGGAACATGTCCTTGATCTTGTCTTCATATCCAATGAGGATGATACACCGGTCTTCTCCAGGTACTCCCTGGACCATTGACACCAATGTATCGATCACCCCGGTCTTGAATTTGTCCTGCTCTCTGCCGGGATCGCCGGCGTCAAGCATATACGCTTCGTCAATTACTAGGATCTTACCAATGGTGGAGTCTAAAATCTTCTTTGTCTTCGCTTCGGACTTTCCAAGACAGTCGCCGATGAAGTCAGCCGGGTTCTTTAAAACCACTTGAGAATGTTAGTTAATAGTCCTATGGCATTTTAGGAAGACGAAACTCACCATCGCCTTTGCTGAGGTAGCCCAAGTCGGCTAGGATTCGACCATACAACTTAGCTACCGTTGTTTTTCCCGTACCAGGATTTCCCACAAACAGTTGGTTTAGCGAGAATTTTAGAGGAGGACGCTCAGCTAACTCGCGGAGGTAATTGTGTTGAATCGTCTTTATCATGCTTCGCACACACTCCTTAACCTGATTGAGTCCGATGAGCCTTTGCAGTTCCATCCATGCCTCGCTGCTTGTACTGGCAGTGGCCGGATCTGGGCCGATCAAATCTTCTTTCGTAAAAAGGAAGATGTCTGGCCTCCCGCCGTATTTTCTCTCTCTCTTTAGACGCTGTGCCTGTCGATTCGCGATCTTAGATAAGAGGTTCTGGACAGCGCGTGCGTTACCAAAGCTCCTGTTGCCGCGGTTTTGGGCAAGCCGTCGGATGGCAATACGCATGTAAAGCCCATGCATACCATCCTCGACCTTCATCTTTCCGCCGTATTCGCGTGTAATATTGTCACTTAATATCTTCCAGAGTTCGCCGTCGGTGAAGTCTGCGAAGTTCATTGTATAGGGGATCCGGCTGCTCAAGCCTGGATTGTGCTCGAAGAACGATTCCATCTCGTCCTTATAGCCGACAAATATAACAACAAGTTTGCCGACGTTGTTCTCCATCATCGTGAGTATTATGTCCAAAGCTGCCCTCCCAACGCTATCAGCGTATGGGGCAGTCAGTTGGTAAGCTTCGTCGACAAATAAAACCCCGCCGATACGATCATTTCGATAGCCATGAAGCATCCCTTTGATCTTACTCTTAATTGCGGCAGTGCCTTTGGTCGCTATATCGATGCCGGTAGTTTCTTTCACGCAGTCAGACTCGAGAATGCCCAAGCTACACAAAAACTTGGCATATAAGCGGGCAAATGTAGTTTTACCTAAGAATCTTATATTAACTTGGATATATTATCTCGGCAGGGGCCTATCATCACTCACCCGTTCCGGGGTTCCCCTGGAAAACAATGTTGAAACGCTCCGACTTCAGATCTCGGCCTTGCTCTTTGCAGACATCAACCTTAGATTTGATGTCCAAAAATTGTTGCTTGACCTCTTCCAATCCTTCATATCCCATCAGTTGATCAAGGATATCGTTGGTCTCGCCATCAAATACCTTCCTACGGGTCCATTCTTGACTCGCAGTGGATGGTATGAAGTTGAAAGGTCTCTCATCGCGAGGGGGCTGATGTGCGCTGGTGGTAGTGCCAGGGCTAGCTGGGCCTAGCCGGGGGGAACTTGGACATGACCGAGACGAGGATAGGTTGTCATATGAAGACCGGGGGCTTGGTGAGCTGGGACAAGAAGATCTATTGTTTCCCTGTTGTAGCATGTCCGGACAATCCATCAGGGATAGTAATGACCACTGACAATTGGTGCTTTCAAGAATACGTATAGGTGAAGATGCAGCTTCACTACCGTTGACTTCCGAAGTAGTATTTACCCCCTGAGACATATCTGTTGGTGCAGTGGAGGTGCCGCTAAGGGGGGTAGCAAGGTGTGAACTTGATGCTGAGTTAGTTTGTAGAATAACATCCGGTAGATGGATCTGGTCTGGATTTTGGGTGTTCCTGAGATCAGAAGTATCAACCGGAGATTGAACCCGAGCAGACCCCATGGCTCCTATGATACCGCTAAGGTCCATATTGTATGGAAGATACTAGATAGCTCTGGGGCTGACTCTAGTATCGAGATATTCCTTAATGAGTTTCGAGGAAACAGTCGAAAAAAACAATAGTAAAAGAGTAAACGACGTTAGATAATAGGTAGCGCCCTAAGAAACTACGGCTATTTCTTAAGATAGGAAGCTAGTAGTGTGATTTCTAGAATAGTGGTGACATCCCTGCTGTTAGGAGTACAGGATTAGGATCTAACTATTGTTTATATACCTATGTAGTAACTGCCTGAATCATTAAATCAGTGCCTGAGTCGATAGCAGAGGCGAATTTTAGACATGGTAGTGGAAATATTAACTCCCAAGACACAGCACAGTGATCTGCTTGATGTAAAGCAGGCTCTGGAAGAATAAGCCAATGAATAACTAAGAACACTCTTTGTTTTTGTAGGCCTACATTCAACTTATGCAACTGGGATACGAAGCTGGCATTAGGTGCTGACGCATTATACATATACTAATTGAAAGCTTTATGAATTATTGTTGCTTCGCCTACGAATATTCCCATATTGATTGGTTAGTGGCCAGCTTTATTCGTGTAGTGTCGTGGTAACCTGATTTTGGTTGGTTGAGATTTGACCAATCAACAAGCAACACCTTGGTTGTCTACGGCTATGCTCTGAGTGAAACCCTATACCTAGTAACCTACCTCTTCACTATTCTTTTCTGGCATAGTGGTAAGTGTTTGCGATATTATTCTGTGGCAAATATATGTATCTATATACCTATGTAAACCAAGGATACTTTTTATTGAGTGGTACACGAGGCTTTCAGGCTTATGCACTATAAGGTAGGTTGGGTAGTAAGGTAGATTCCGAGGCATAATAAGGCCAACATATACAATTTAAGCCTCCTTTGATATGCACAGCCTTGTGTTAGAATCAAGAGTCAGTTTTCTATCTTCACGGCTTGGGTGATGCTACAACTTAATCGAAAATCCGGAAGCCCCAAGTATCTCAAAAGCCTGGTTTGAACCAATCATGATTTAGTATGCAGCTAGCTGTAGAGCGGTTGTCGGGAGCATACGTGAGTAATTTTGAGAGAAGGTCCGAAAATATTTGCATTTCTCTGAGGAATATCCCGTTGAATCTCCCCCCCTCCCCCCGCGGCTGTGACTATTCTCATAGAATAGGCCTCGAGCAAGCATCTACTGTAGCGACCTTGGTTGTGGCCTAGGTATAACTAGTGCACCTACAGCGCCAGGACTCAGGTTCTTCTCGTCAGAACCTCTGCGTACCTCTATTACTCGATTCTCCGCATTCGCCTTGTCCTCGAAGTAACCCCTACGTGCCTTCCAAGTTTCGGACCACCAGGGCTCTGGAAACTTGCCGAGAACCATGGCCATCTTCCGCATGTGTTTGTCGGGTTCGTCATCATATGTGCTGAATAGTTTTCTCCCCGTACGGATCTCGAATAACGTACAGCCAAGAGCCCATAAGTCACACCCAAGACCGACTTTGCCTTCCAAAGCATACTCGGGAGAGCAATAAGCCTGTAGTATTCGCCGCCGTCGAATCCTAGTCCACGGGATATACTAGATATTGAGGAGCCGTTGGTAAGTTATGGCCCTCACCGGAAAGTGTGACCACTTTCGTTGTGCTAGGTACCCCGATATTTATAATTACTTCATCCTCTGAGAGCCCATCTAGACCCGATATTTGGGCCAGAATGTTGACTGGTCTATAGTCTTCGCAGTGTTCTGTTAGAATTTGAGTTGTAAAGAGACACGCGAACATAGGTACATACCACCGTCACAAACGCCTCGCTTATGGAGTTCAGCCATAGCTTGGCTTTGGTCGCCTGTAGACAAGCTCTCTTCAATAACTCTCCTAGATCATTAGACTGGGCGACACTGAGTAGCCTTGACACTCGGGGACCTAAAACTGGATACACGAAAGCAAGACGTGTACCGTTCTGTCCGTTGATATCAAACTGGTCTAATGAAAGACAGAAATAATCGGTACGTTGAAGTTTATCTGATCCACAACCTAGGGTTATTCACTCGCAGCTCAGGATAGTCCTTAGTGGATTGTTCTCCTATTATGACCTTCAGAGCTACATATTGAGGCGTATCACTGGAGTTGTTGCGGCACAATCACAAGTTTGCGTAACCGCCGGTTCCCAATTTATGGATTACCTTGTAGCGAGAATGTAAAATATCGCCCAAATGGATGGGGTGGTGACCTCCTTCCTCATAGTCGTATATTTATCCGAGTCCAAATGGGGGACCCTTAATTACCAAGCCGTTTCCCCGATATTCGCTTTCGGCGGTTGAAGCTATCGAATTAGCTTCAGACATATTAAAGGCAACGATTTGGTAAGCAATAGACCTATTGAAGAAAGTTATTTGATAGTTAGAATTATCTTTCGCCGATGAAACATCTTGTCTGGAAAATAATGAGAAGTATAATGCATATAAGAGTGCTTGTTATCTGCTACATCTGTCCTATAACGGGTTGCGTAAGTGGAACCCATTAGCCGCGCGGATACGGGATCTTTTCCTTACATCCCCCTTTAACCATACCTTTCTCAGCCTTGGTAAGACTCCAAGGGATTAAAATGCCTAAATGATATACAGTTAGCAATGTAATATAAGCCTGTCCCAGAGGTTCCCTTTTACAAGTCATGATGCATAGGATGACTGGACTCAACGTTTCTATAATCAGCAATCTTTTACTATATTTGCAATGCATATGGGTATCAAATGCTCCACGCGCACATCAACAACGTTCGAAGACCCTATAAAGACCCTTAAGGCTCGCCAACTCAAGTACACCACCCTTCATGAACGACTTTGTCGCTACTAATCTTGCTTTGAATGCCGGAAAGAAGACATGTTCTACTGCGCGTCGGATCTGTTCTCTTCTTGCTTTGATCTCATCGGGGATATCTTCCTCAGTCTCATCGTTACTCGGGAGCGTCGGAAGCTGCTCTGGGACATAGAATGTTGCTAATTCCTTGAGGAATGTTTCGAAACACAGCTTCTCGTCTGTCCAATTTACATGGGGACCAAGGCGGAGAAGAAATTGCGGTAATTTCGCCATAGATGGCGTGTAACCCTTCAGGAGAAGTGGCATGCTTGATAGCTCGCCGGCTGGAGATATGTCAAGGCTGAAGTACTCCAGCAACATTTCCCTTCTCTCGATCAACTGTTCTGCTACCGTATCCACAACGTCGCCTACATCAAATTCATCGTCCGTAGCGGCAGCTTTTTCCTGCTCGGCCGCAATTTTGAGAACTTCACGTAGGTCAAGCGCAGGCTGGAATTTTATAACACCGAAATTGCCAAAATCAGTGAGCCCAACCTGGTAAAAATACTCGAAACACGCTCTACCGTAATCGATAAGGAAGAGTTTGACGCCTCCTTGAATGGCGGCGAGTCGGCGTCTCTCGTCTACGATACCCACGAAGGTATGATTAGCAAATATCTCGGTGAGCTCGTGGTGCATATCGTCTCTAACGGCGGAGCGAAGTTCGCGCACACTAGTGAGTCGACAGAGAATCGGCTCACGGTCAGTTGTTTCATAAACCGGTTCGTGGCCTATATCGGGCGCGGCATTACTCGATGTACGAGATGCTGGCGATGGCGATGCCACAGAGAACATGCTGGTGATCTTGCGTAGCGAAGCATCCGTTCTAACCATGTTGCGTTCATCGGGCCGCACAAGTGTTTTTTTTGGACCGCCCGGTGTTTTAACAGAAGAGCTGTTCACGTCTGGTTGAGAGGCATCGGAAAGCATAGAACCGGGGAGTAGAGTCTGTGTGAAGAATGTGCGACTCGTATCAACTGCTGCTAGTTTATCTCGGATATTTTCACAAATGGATTGGATGATCTCATCCTCATTCAGAAAGTTAACTTCTTTCTTCGTTGGATGGACATTGACATCGACTCGTTGAGGGTCAATTTCAAGGCTTAGGTAAACGAATGGATGTCCATTTTTAGGAAGGAAGGCAGAGTATGTCTGTTCCACCGCCTTCTTGATGTTAGATGAATCAACACTACGATGGTTGATGAAAAGAAGGAGGGTCGTTTTCTTGATATGGTAGTTGGCATTTGTTGCCCATCCTGAAGCCTTAAAGCCCCAGCGGTCATCGGACGCGGAGAACTCTATCAGCTCACTCGCAACGGCGCTGCCGTGAATCTGACGAATACGGTCTATTGTAGAAGCTTGCTGTTGCACCGTGATCGATGTACCCGAATCGCCATGTTTCTTACATGAGAAAGCGACACCACTGCAGTGAATGGCATAACGTCCCACCATATCAATGATCTTGTTGTATTCATCGGAAGCCGACCTAAAGGCTTTACGTCGCGTTGGGACATTGTAAAACAAGTCCTCAACTGATATCTGAGTGCCAATTCGCCCAGCAATAGGTTTGGGGTCGGGCTGCTGCCCGGGTTTTGCAGGCGATAGCTTACCGCCATCGAAATGCGCTCGCCACGAACAATTAGAGTCTTTAGTCCTTGTAGTTACTGTTAAGTGAGCAATGTGGCTGATGCTGGCGAGAGCCTCACCCCGGAAGCCATAAGTGCAGATACTGCTCAAGTCCTCAAATTTTTTGAGTTTAGATGTGGTGAATCTCTCACACAGAATTGGCAAGTCCTCTTTCTGTCGGACATCGTAAGAAATTGGGTGCACGCGATAATTAGGATTGAGGCAACTTACATTAATTCCATGACCATTGTCGGTGATCTGCAATAACTTGAGACCGCCATCTTTAACCAGCACTTCTAGAGAGGTCGAACCTGCATCAACCGCGTTCTCGATCAATTCTTTCAAAGCATGTACTGGAGCTACGATGATTTCGCCGGCAGCAATCTTGTTCACAACGTCTGGATCTAGTGCCTAGAGGGTGTTGATAATCAGCCCTACGTTCCCTAATTGGGTTGAAAAGGAACACTAGCCTTGATTCGGCGGGGAGCGTATTCATCTGGAGACGATGGTTCCTTTCGTTTGGTGCCTCTTGGCTCGTCAAGCTCCATGGGATCAGTCATCTTGATATCACTTATCGCGATATTACTGCTTGTTTGATAGGTATGATGAAGATTGCCTATTAAGTCTTATAATAGACAGGCATTTTCGGCTCTCCTTTGGCCTTCTAGTTTAGGTACCTAAGGTTTGCTTTAAGGTCTATCACAGCAGTACGAAGTACCGCTCAAATGATAAGAATTAATGTGAGATGAATTGGATTCTAATCTCTTTTGTTGCTGCTTGAATTGTTGTAGAGATCACGTTTGTATTAGTGAGCGGCGAGTGTGATGAGTTAGTGTACCTAGGTAGCGGTTTGTTATTTCACTAGGTTGTACCTTCTGAATAGGATATGAGTGAGTTGGAAGCGGCAACTTAGAATCCAATGTTGCTTTGTACTGTAAGCCACAGGTAAGACAGGAGAGGAAGCCGCATAGGTAGCCAATCAACGTTTACCATATCCACAGAATATGCATTGATAGGGGAATTTAACTGTGTCTGGTACTGTATCTTGTACTGTGTTCATTCATGCGCTTGGACCTCCTTTTTAGATCTGAGGCTGCCTGCTCATAATCCATAATTGACAAACTGCTATTAACATAGCGCTTATTGTTTTTTAAATTCTTGTCAATAATAAGGCGTTAGTGATCGATTTTCAACTCTCAAGAACGGATTATTTTATTTTAACCCTAGGCATTTCTAACTTTGTCCAGTTTTTTCCTCGGTTAAAGAACTCGATCTTAGACTTTGCGATATACGCTGTTAATTTCGCGAGCCGAAGCCAGGTAGATGATTATTAAGGTCCAAGGATTGCTACGCTAAAAAACTACCAAATATTATATGTGACGAGATACATTGGTGTGAATTAGGTGGCTTACGTACATGATATATAAGGTAGGTTTCCTACAGGCTTTGCCTATTTGAGGCATAATCATAGATTCATGTTAAGCCAAGTTCATGTCAGACTGCCTCCGAAAGAGCCGATTTGATAAAGGATTCTCATAGTAGGTAAAATGTAAAAGTGTGATGAACTTGACGATTAGGGATATTCCGAGCTTCACGAAAATATAAACATCACATTGTCGGAATACGGAAGGAAGACCGAAGTTTATAAGTAACACCAAGTGTCCAACCGGATAATGATAGCTTTCCAGAATCGGTAATATTGAATTTTCCCCTATGCATGCTACTGTTATTTCGGTATCATACAACCTATATACTAGCTTATAGGCAAGGGGCCCGATTCCGGCTTACGCTCGGCAAGGAATTTCCAAGTTAAGAGCTAAGGCGATCACTTGCTATACGATTAGTCTAGCACTTCAACCTCTGGACCATTGCCTAAGGGCCAAGATATATCTGTGTCCTTGTCAATGCGATGCTGACTAGAGCCAATCGGCTTTAGCCGTATTCTTAACGGGAAACCCCTTAACAGCACGCATGGTAGAAACGATATGTTCGAAGAGACTGCCGGAATAGGGAAAACACAAGTCATATCAAACAAGACCTGTGTTTTATGCTGTACTTTTATTTAGGAAATTTAATTTATAAGGAAGAATCAGTAGTAAATCTAGATCCGTTCTCTATCTCATCTGTTGGTAAGAATTTAGTCGAGGGAATGAGTGTAAATCTACCCAGTACAGAGCGGCATTCATACCCTTGTTGAGGCTAGGGTAGCACTAGGCGTACTTCAGATAACAACAACCGAGAACGACCCAATAATCTTATTTCAGAAAGAGGAGTTAGAAGGCTTTGTGATCAGTTTAAATCTCTGTCATGAGGATATAACTTTCTGGTTATTCGTATGCCCTTATAGAGGCCTGCAAAGGTAGTCAGGGGTCTTTGTTCACCCCTTGCGCTGTCATGCATCATCCCGACGTCACTCTTGCCTTTGTGGTTATCTTCATTCAAGAATTTCGGGTTACGCTTCATTTTGAGACTGTAAACTTATCCCCCGGCGAGTTTAACCGCCTGCTCGGAACTAGTTGCGGGACAGTTACAACTTTACGAGACGATATATTAAAGGATGTAGGATATTATTACAGTAAAGAACCCTCCTAAGTGTGATAATTCGATAACTCTTACATATGATGATGATGTTTAAGAGGTACACGCGATATATCAATTTTGGGTCGGAAGGATTATTACCAACCCCAAGAATCAACCCCGGCTTCGCGGGCCAACAGCTTGGGTGTTGGTGTGCATGTGTGATGCGTATTGTGTAAGTGATCGCTTCCGCAATGACAAGCATCATTACCTCTTAGACAAGGGTATTCGAAAAGACCCAAGAGGAGAGGACCAGTCGGGAGTTTTTATTTCTTTCCTCTCTCTTATTAGCGTCAGTTTATTAGACATTACTACCCTACCCGTGCTAGATGTGCAGATGTGCATCCGTAGGCTCGTTACGGTACCGCAGTCCCGTAACACTGCGCGCACGCTGCAACGGCTCGGACAATTTTACCCACTGACTTACCCCTGTAGACAGGCCACATAAGATAATCTCATGTATGTACGTAGTAGGCCAGCGGTAGGTAATCTCGACTGCGTGCTGCTCCAAAATGTGAGAAGCCCAGATACAGGCACGCACCCCCCTTCGCAGTTTGATGACTAGATGCTAGCGAGCCAACCACGGCACTGATTCCCACCTCGATTAAGGTTAAGCTTGTCCGTATTTTGTCTGCACAGGCATGGACCCTTCTAAACGGGGGTGGTACGTGCATGTTTTTCTTATTTATCTTGCGGTGTGCTTCGGCTGGCCGAGGTGATGCAAGATGCAAGTTTGCAAGGGCGTCACGGTAACTGTATTTGCAGAGATCGGAGCTAGGAAGATCGAGGTCTCAGCAAGGAATACCCAGGTCAAGCAGGGGACTGTGGAATGAAAAAGAGGGGAAGAGAGTAAGAAGCATCCGAGCAACAGCAGTAAGAATTTTGGTTCGTTTCAAGCGCCCGTTATGCGTGAGAGTCGGTGTATATGTGAGCGCTTCCAGTATGCGTGTGTTATCTTCGTCCCGTGAATTCTATTTTGCGTCTGCGTGGACATGTATGTAAGTAAGGTATATATGAGTGAGTGACGAGCATGTGCCGTCTTGATGGTGCCTTGTTGATGTATACCGTCGTAATATTCGGAAATGAAAACAACTTTCCCGGTACGAAGCATTATATTATAGACCTTGATATCATATCAAACCACCATAATAAACCTAGCAACCGACCCAGCACTGACCTCTTACTGGTTACCGCTTACGCCAACCCGACAACATAATTGTAGATTTAAGAGGAGGATCCTAAGGAAAGATCTGGAGAAGAGCAAGACGGGGATTCACGGGTAGGACGGGCCGAATCCTAATAATTAGTTGAGGCGGAATATAACTTCGCTTCCCGGGTTGTATTGACGGGCCTGGATGGATCTGATGGATGGATAGGATCTGATCAGCCTACCACCGAAACGAAAATCTCTAAAAGTCGCGGTAAACATGCCCGTTTCTTGTTTTCTCGCGCTTGTTTCATTTCTAGACCCAATTTTTCCTTCTTGTCCCGACGGAAAATGTTTCGTTTCATTGATATATCCATCCCAATTTCTGTGATTTCTACCTTTTTTACTCTGCCCTCCCCCACACTTGTTTCGTGTATTTGGCTAGATAACCTATAACCTCCTACCCGTTACCCTCATCCTCTTCCTTAATTCCAACCTACCTATACAATATCCTCTTCTCAGGACTAGCATCTTATTACACGATCTCGCTCCATAGAGCCTCACGCTCTCGCTTTCCTTGGCCGATACTGTTGACTAGATACAAGACGAGATAGAGATCAGAAATTGGGGGAGAAAAATATACACAAGATTAGAACAATGACGGCGAGAGATCCCGAACTCGAAAGACCCCGCCCTCCTATCTGGTTCCACTGAGTTGCCATCAAACAGTCTGGCACGGGCAAGCTGGGCGAGTCTGGCCTTACCACCAGGCCACCGTCTCCCATTCACGTCACAAAAACAGAGCCCCAAAGCCCGACCTAATATATAGTACATGAAGATGCAGCTGACTTTCCGAAAAAAAAAACGACTCTTCTCATTATGCTGCGCTCTCCTCTTCTCCCCTCGTGCTGCCGCCTCCCGGGGTCGCACGAGTTCCCGGTTTGTGACGAAACAAGAGCCTCAAACGCCGTACCTGAGGAAAAACAATTCGATATGCGATTAGAAACATGATTAGGTACCCAAATCAACCAGGGCGACGGGATCGGTAAAGAGAAAACTCAAATCCGGACGGCTCAACCAAGGCGATAAAATGGTTAAGTGGGATCATGCTCATATTAGAATGGCCCTGGAAAGCAGACGCCGTGTAATAGCGGACGTATGATATATAGATGGAAAGATGCATTATGTTGTACATGGTATCTCCTGCGCGACTGAAAACGATGGATGCGCGATATGGGTATAGTTTACAATTCGAGTGCGAATGGGGTGTAGTATCAAACATTAACCTAGCGGATAGGCGCCAAAGGCATCCAGCCTGCGAAAGAGACCGGAACTACCTAGAGACGAGACATGGGAGGATTCATGATGTCCGAGTATTAATCAACCGCTACCGACCTCGTCGCGACGGGTCGGGCTTTTCTATTAATCCGCCAATGTCGACACGACTTGAACGATCATCTCGCTGCCAACTGGACGGTTCTCCTGAGGGGCCAGCTTGACTCTGGCCACGGATAGGAGGTAGTTGATATTCGACTTGCTGGGGAGGCCTGACGACTGGAAGCTCGCTCCTTGGGATATGGTGAGAAGGACCGGCGGGGGGCTCGATTCGCGAGGGGGTGGAAGCGGAGTAAGAAGAAACGTTCGGACTGATGCCGGGGGTAAGGCCTGAGGCTATAGGTGCAGGTGTTGGTGGTTGCCGTGGTGTGTAAGCACCTTCGCGAGACGATTCCCCATATCGAGGCCGTATAGAGTCGAAGGAACCCGAAATCGGAGTCAACTGAGCATATGACTGTTGGAATGAATATTGAAAATCTCGGGAGTGAGGAGAGGGCGATAGGTGGGGGAACGGCTGGGCTGGACGGTTTAACAGGAGCAATACGACGAAATATATCGAGTCCTCCTTCGCTAGTCCGACGCGGATTGGGTAAGGTCGTAACTGTCCGTCTCCCCCGACAAAGTTGAAAAAATCATGACGATCTAGTTGGAACCTCGATATCGACTCTGGACTGAATGGCAGTGCCTGTATCACCCTCGCGGCCTCTTCTTTTCCGAAAATTGGCGGTAAATAATTCGGTTCCTTTTTTCCCTGTTCGTCTTGTAGAGACCTCTGGAGCGCAAAAACTCTATCACGCTCTCCCGGATTGACGACATCTAACAACCTTCGACCCATGACTGATCGAACACCTACTGCTTCCATAAAAGTTCCCGATGCCCCCATGATCTCCAAATCTGTCGTCAAAAAAGCCACTGGTTCATGTGCACGGGGGGGTATGGAAATAGGCGCAGGGAAGATGTTTGCGTCTGAAGTCGATCCACGCTCGATAAATCTAGGCGGAACTGAATCATTACTCGGATTTGATTTTAACACTCTATAAGAATGGTTTCTTCGAAGAGGGTCCTCGTACGAGGCAGATACTGCGCTAATCGGTGAATAAAGTGAGACTGGTCGTCGTATTGCTGGATCGCTCGGATGAGGAGGGAATCTTCCCGTATCGAATCGGGGTTGGTTGTCATCGCGTAATCGGGGTCGGCCGCGCTTTTTATGTTGGACATCAACACATGAGTCTTCTTTGCCGTTGCTCAGACACCGCGAGCATGGCCGCTGGGCTATTGTAGGCACATATGGTCAGCTTTATACCACGATTTCACGACATGTAAGCGCATATGAAATAAAGAAATGAGATTCCCTCGGACCCGGATTGGAACATGGGAAATATGTCCTCCGCGAACAATCCACTATGAGGGATGTAGTTTTGGGGGGGGGATGTTGAAACGCCTAATCGGGTCGGAAGAGCTGCATCCTGGAGTTTCATGGTTGTGACAAATTCATCATGGTCCTGGGGTTTGATGATGGCAGCATGCAACTCCCCATTATAGGGATTATCCCGCCCTTTTTGCTGCGCCCAACTACCCCGGTGCTTTCGTTACCTACACCGGTCTCCTTGCTGAGCCCTGGTGTATAAAGCGAATTGTTGGTCGTTTTACTGACTTATTGGCGTTATCTCTGCTAAAAAGGGCGAAAATCCGGAATTCAAAGCGGAATTCGTTTTCCCCCCTTCATAGTAAAAGCCTGTTTACCCGCTGCCATAACCCATGAATGCAAGGGATCCCTCATACCTTACCATCCAAAGGACGGTTTTAGTTGATCGATACTATGCTTATAGTTGCTCATTTTCGTGGCTTTCCCTCCAGGGCTACCTCGAGCATATAACCGACAACGGAGAAATAACGTGAATAAACGGATTTCAATACATACCATCACATCTAACAATAGTTAGTATATAAGTCTATTAGAACAGAGGGATGGGATCAAATTCTCTACAGTACCTTAAATGTGCTCTTTTGCAGGGCACGCAAGCTGAAGCCACGTGCCCCTTAGTTTTCCGCTGGGATTTCGGAGAGGCGTAAGGCGGGTTCTCGGCGCCTTGCGGATTACTCGGCATCGGATAGGATGACGGTCCTATATTTGGTCCAACTACAGGAGGAAGCGAGTACTGAGGCTGGGGAACCATCGGGCCTGGTTGCTGTGCGTAGGAAATAGGTCTTCCCATCGTGTCTTCCGGGCGGTGATATGGGTATGGCATTCGCTCCGGAGCCTCTGGGGGGTATGGTCTGGTGGAGCTGGTTGTAGGGGGTAGTAAGGACGGTTGCGGTGGTGCTGCTCGATACTCGCCTCCTGGAACCGTTGAGCTTGGACGATACGCATCATGACTAGTGGGCTGGAAGCTTCCCTGACCTCGATCACCGACCTCTGGGTATGATTTGGGCGGGAGTGGTGGTGGAGACCCTGACATGGGCGGAGAGGGATACGCCCTTGTGCTGCTAAGAGCACAATCCGTCTCTGCTCTGGCCCAGGACAGGTCTAGAGAGAAGTTCGCCAGATTCAATAAACCTCGGCGCTGGCCGAGCGGATGGTTTGACTGCTCAGCACGATAAATAAGAGTTTGCATGGATGCAGCCGGGGGAGAGTATACGACAGGACCGTGAGCCCCCAACGTCTTCGTCTCTTTCCAAGCGGCGGCCTGGCACCTTCGCTAGGAGTATGGAAATACCGTTTAGATATGGTTCCGTCGATTCTCGACAAATATCATGCCCAGGCTTGCTCGCAAATTCGGGGATGTCTTCAAAATCACTTATTGGTCCGCGGATCGCACCAGTTGGTAAGCAACGCTTTTTTTTTTTCCAAGTCCGTGAGTGGCAACCCAGGTTTGAAATATCCCAAGAATTAGAAGGGTAGTTCTCAGCTCAGTTCTTTTCACTTCCGTAAGGAGTTTATTAGCTGGAAAGTTATACGGCCAAGGCAAGTCGAAGACCAGTTAGTAATAGCGACTCAGTCCTGACTCGTCTTGAATCGATGGCGCAAGTTAAAAGACAGCGTTAGACAAGCAAAATCGCCTGTGGTACTGGCTCAGTCAAGGTTAGAGAATCCAGTGATACGGCGCGCTGCGAAGTTGGTGGAAACCTAGGAGATGGGATGACGGGGAGCTGCAGCACAAGACACACGACCGGTCTCCTTGTAGCACGGTGAGATATAGCCCTTGGGTCTTGGAGGCCTGGGAGGCAACGTGCCGACGGTAGCTGTGTCGGGCAGAGCTTGATGATGCCAACTTGTCGTCTCGAGATGGAGAAGCTCGACAACTTTTGGGTCTGGATAAGGTCGCGGGAGGCTTTTGTGCGACTTTAATATTAGAGATTGGGACAATTTAGGTACGAACCAGGGTACAAGCTCTTTTGGGGCGGCATACGAAAGTACAAGGCCAGTAGCTACACACGCGCCAGGCCTGCTTGGCAGTTCTTCGTTGACAAGCACTGGGAATGCGCTGGCACGGGCGCTGGGCTTAGGCTGGGATGTATTGTACTGTATGTACTGGGGGTATATTTTCTATGGCAGGGAGTGGGCATGGAGAAAGACACAAAGGGTAGTAGAGAGACTTCTTGAAAGATCCCTGAAGAGTTGTCGATGTGACGAGGCGAGTATGCAAGAAGCTAATAATAAGATATGTCTTCTAAAGAACAACAATGACAACGAGAAGGGGCACATGTACAGAAAGTACTAGTCACTGTACAAGTACTAGCCGGCTAATAAATGTGCTGAGAGTAAGGATGAAGATGGGTAGTAGTGCTAGATAGAGGTGGACCTACTCGACAAGGTCGCCATGATGGTAAAATCCTAGTACTGTCCAGGGTCCCATGGGCGCTGTGGACCTGTCAGGGTAGACCCCGGCCTCAACGGGGAAGCATTGGTTGCTAATCATTGATCAGGGATTTAAGGGTAGCGGAGAGGGCTAACAGGCTAGCAACGGCCATGAACGAAATCCCCTATGTTCATCTTGTAACATCCCACGATGCTATCACAGACCATGCGATACAGTACAATTTATTGTACTTTGCGTCCCCTGCGTGTCTTCCACCTGTTCCTTTCTTTTTTGTCTTTAACCCTGGCGATCTGAGAATTCCCCGCGAACAGCCATGATGTGACCTCGTCTGAGCGCCCTGAGATTGCTAAGAAATGCGCAACGGAAATAATGAGACAGATTTTCCAAACATGTGTCTTTAATTGGCTAGGGTTTATCGAGATTCGAGGGACTAAGAGACGAAGGGGTAGAGTTCTACATACAGTACTTAAGGGGTGTGTATTGCTCAACGGCTTTTAGGAGGGGGTGTGCGTTTCTGATTGCCGGCCCACGACCTAGCAGGCCGACCTACTGCTACTATCTCTGACCTCATATAGCCCCTAACAAGGGGAAACGAACGGTACGTTAAAAGTTCTCGCTAATAAGTCTGCCTTTAAGAGGGTAGGAGCGGGATGCAAGAGAAGCAGTTTAAGAAAATGCCCGGTTATGCAGTCTTTGCGCAGATATGTAAGTTTGTATGCACGTAACTTTAATACACTGCAAGGGACCCTGATGACCTATTGAGAAGTTATTGTAAAGTTGTGTATTTTGTTGTTGTTGTTGTAAATAAGTCGAATAATCAGACAAGATGTAATATCTAAGGCCGTAGCTCTAACAAAGACGAAGTAGTTGAAACCAAATGAGAGTACGTATATGTTACTACAGCTAATTGAGGACCAACGTATGGGTGGGAAAATTGTACGTCGGCCAGCCAGTAAAAGAAGGTAGAAAAAAAAAACAACGGAATAAAAAAAAATAATACTGACCAAATCGGCTTCCGGCGTCAAATGGCGAGTTAACTATTGGCCGGACGTTAATTTTGATTGGAGGAAGACGAGTCCAGAAGGTCCAACGTCCAGGCCTCAGCTCAATCAAATAGATTGACGAGTAGCATCTTACACGTGCATTATATGAAGATGATGTAATCCGTAAAAGAGGATAATAATAAGATCAGCGGAAGATTCGACATCAGTATTCTTACTTACAAAGACACCAAGGAAGTTTAAAATTTAGTCCGCGTAAAGATGATACCTTCTACGGCTTTTCATATTAGATAGCTAACTTAGGTAGGTATTATTACCTATGTATAGTAAGATTAGACGTGTACCAACAATACACACACTAACAATATTAACAATTTTATAATACGTGACATACTGCGAGTATGTAGTAGGTATTCCCCTACGTACCTAGGTATGGTAGGTATAGGTATAATTAGGTATGGGCATAGGTATTACCTACTAACGCTCTCTTCTATGAGGCTCTACTTTAAGATAAGCTAACAATCGTTCCCGGGAAAAGAAGCCATAACGTAAAGAGGTGGTATCCCGAGCTTTTAGTACGTAACCGTCACCGACTAAGGACCCGGCCTTCATGAAGCTAGCTGGAGGAAGTAGATGAAAAGTCAGATTCGCAAATATAGTTACTGTTAACCTGAACCTCACCGACCTCGACTCTCCCGCCTCTCATTTACATACGAAGCAGTACGTGGCAAGAAAGGAATTACGGTGTACGATAGTATATACAACATAACTTCCTCCTGCTCCTTACGGAGATGGGTAAGTCTTGAAATTTTAATGGTGGATAATCTACGGCCGCAGAATAAAAACTCCCCCCGTGAGTAGTGTACAGTAGCATGGCAGCATGGCAACATGGCAGCATGGGTCCGAATAATAGGGGAGGCTTGAGCGGAACCGGACTTTGAAGGGACTTGGCCGCGTGCCTAGCCGGCGGCAGTTCCTTAGCGGCGGCTCTACGATCATTGTCGCATCTGAGGTGGATGGATCTTATTTGAGGGATGTGATGAAGTCAAAAATTTTGATTGTATTTCATTTCACCTCGTATTGTAAGCACATTTCTTCTAGATAATCAACTGGCAATCGACATGGGGAAATCTTGCAGGTACTACATACCAAGTTCTGGGTTTCGATCAATTCTGCATGGACCAAGCCGGGATTGGTCGAGGGGGACAAGGAAGGCCTGCCGAGTTCATGCATCGACATTTTAAAGTACAGATTATTGAAAGAGAGAGAAAAAAGTTTGTACGTAGCTGCATATACAGTACAGTACATACGATGATGCTCCATTTATTCTTAGCCTTGCATGGTGTTATTGTTCATTCTACACTGCATACGACTAGCCTTGAATAGAGTGAGATGATGAGATGAATATACGTAGTATATACTACATTACTATACTATTAGGTGTCTACTAATAATGGGTGTGTCTAATCAAGTTGTTGGTTCAATGGCTGATCCTCGCTCACGCCGACCATAATATCGTGTCTTTAAACTTCTTATCTAGACTTTCTCGAGCCGTCCCCTCTCACCCCTGCCCAGCAATGACGAACGTCAGAGCAGGGGTAAAAAGAAAAAAAGGACTATCGATCATGGTACATATGTATGTATGTATGTACGTACGGCGCGATGCGAGGATCGACAGTCACATCGTCCGAGCTTTTAATGCCTTAGCATGTATGTGCTAGATACCAACATGACGCCTCATTTCCCCAGAGACTTCTTCGATGAAGAAAAGCTAAGCATTCAAACTAAGAAAGCCCAGCCTTGAAAAAGGATTCAAGACCTGCGGTGATCGGCGTGGGGTTATGTGCGAGGTCACATCAATTTGGGATTAGTTTTACTCTACCCAGACCTAGTGACATGTGTGTGCTAGATAGAACCGGGTAAGCCTGTTGACGCATGATCCCGAAAGGGTAAAGAATACGGGCTCCATCGGCGACCTGGTACTTAATTAGCAGGAAAATAAATGTAGTAGTTTATCTACGGGTAGCTTTTCTGAGCTCGCCGCTAATAATAAATAGATATAACTTTTCTCCAGACTATTCCGCATCGCAATTACGCAATTCGGCAGAGCCCGGTATCTTCCTCGATGTGCTCGACGTGCTCGACAGGTTCAACGGCAAGCCTCGTTTCTCGAAAAAAGGGTATAGTAGTATCTTAATTAGAGGGGGCTAGTATCTCTCAAACCTCTAGTCGTATACATAATCAATACAAATCTGGTCTAGAAATACCAAATGTGACGGTGTGATCCCGCTAAGGACGACTATTGCGGTAGTTCCCTACCATGCAACGCATAACACATGGCAACTATGTATTATATACCACGAACCTCATAATATATATCGTCTATTCTGTACTAGTCCAAGCGGGTAGCATTCAGCATTGGCGTTTTCCTCATTGCGGATGCATAGTAAATAACTATTAGTCTACTTACATCTTAAGATAGGGCTGCTAATGAGATACTTGCCGTCTGCGTACCAGATTGTGTACGAAGGTGGGTTGTGGCTAGGATGCGGCTGCTCAGATCCGGGTCTGCCATGTGGTCATACAACGATACAACGGTCTCTTATATTGTGGCTTATTAGCTGTTGTACACCTGAGAGCATTGGGCAGTTTGCCCAGACGGTTAGTTAATAAACTTCAGATTACACGCTAACCGCGTTTCTGACGAGTTTGGATGCGTTTGGATGTGTTGCCAACCAGTCAACATTGCCATCACGTTATCTCACCTCTCCTGCTCTTTAATTTGACCTCTCC